GGAAAGGAAAGGAAAGGAAAGGAAAGGAAAGGAAAGGAAAGGAAAGGAAAGGAAAGGAAAGGAAAGGAAAGGAAAGGAAAGGAAAGGAAAGGAAATGAGAAAGGAAAGAGGGCTTGAATGCCTATTGATGAGAAAGACAGCATAGGTTGAGCAGGTACAACAAGAGGGATTTACCTTTTAATACAGTAGGCCCCAGGCCTGTAGTTATTTACATTTTAAACATGCCACTTCGCCCTAGTTAAAAGCAAGCCATAAACCACAAGTGATTTTCTAGAAAGTGGTTCCCAAACTTGCTTCTCAGGAGGAGCAGAAGAAGCTATAGCAATGGCAGCATCTATGTTCCCTGCTCTGGCAATGCTTTCCTGAACCTGAAATTAGGACTYCTGGCTTAAGAACTGACCCCACCCTGCAAAAGCCACAGGGTTCCCTGRGATCCTGAGATGGCATCCAGGGGGTTGGAACAAGATGACCTTTAGGGTCCCTTCCAAYYYAAACCATTCAATGATTCTATGTTCTTAAGAACCTTTCAGCTACTCAACAGTATTTTCCTCATAAAAAGTTCCCTGTTGTTATCTTTGCCTTGCCATGATCAGATATATTTGGTGTCTCTCTTTTGTTCAAAAGCAGAGGTTGAGACTGATACTGGAGATAATAAAACAAAAAAAGATTGTGTGGCACAATGAGGTATGTAAACTCACAAAGGTTTATTTATGTGAACTAACCACAGCATTGGGACTTCACAGACCTAATCAGTATTCAGCACATCACCTAAGCTTTCTGTCTTTGTGTCTAATCACAAACACATATGAAATAAATTTGTTACTCTGATTTTCACTCTCCAGGGTGTTGCTCTTGCRTTGAGTGGAGTCAGTGCTGATCTCCATTCAACACAGGGTCACAGCCCGCATGTTTGTCCTCTGTGTCAGCAGCAGCCAAGCTGCCTTTCCCTGCAGATAATTAAAAGCCATTATTCTAACCAGACAATCAAACTTCATGTGATGAACAAAGTCTTTGCTTTGATCACATTATCTTCTCAAAAACWGTAAAAATGCAATTTCAGTACCTACCTCCAGCAAAGAACATTTGYTTTGCTTGTGGGTAACCACTACTAATGGTAGCACCATTTAAATATGGGTATCTGGAAAAGGGAATAAAACACTGGATCCAGGGACAAGTACAATTTGGGACAAGATACCAACTCCCACTCGAAGTTTAATTCAACTTGAGAGTTGTGCACAAGTTCCCTGCATCCTTCACTGATGCTGGCAAGATACAACTGCCCTCAAAAAGAGTTCAAGGGTGAGACTTTCATTTGCAAAACTTTGCCTGTTTTTACAGCAAGTGGTAAGAAAAGCGAGAAAAATAAACAACTGAAACACCCACTGTACTGAAATTGCATAGTTACGCATTGTCCTTTCCATGCTGATGAGCATCTCTTATGAACTAAATCAATATTATCAAATCACTCTTTGTCTCRTTTCCTGAAAGGAATGTATTTTTTCTCCAGCATCCCCAGTTCCCTGGGGCTGGGAGCCCAGCTGGRAGCCCTGCTCCTGCACAGAGACAGGAGGAATCTATGCAGGATTTCCCCTCAGGACTGCTTTTGTTCCTGCACCTGGGTCATCATTGCTAGCAACAGAAAATGGGATATACAGTGGGTAGTTACAGTCCTGACTACTCCTGCCCTCCTCTTTGCCCTTTCCTTCTAGTACCACTGGATTACATCAAGTGGAAGTAGCTCTGTTGGTTTAAAAATCTTAAGGAAGATTTCCTGCAGGAACAGAAACTAGTAGCAAATGAAGCATAGGTGAGAAATATGCCAGGACCAGTGGACGTGTTGCACTGGGAGGGCAGCTGGAACCAAGCTTAACTCTATTTTTTTTTTTTTAAGCATACAGGCTTAAAAAAAAGTCGTATTTGAAAAAAAATACCAAACTCAGAGAATTTTGCTCTGTCTTAAGAAGACATAGGAACACAACACAGAGGAATGGGCAGACATACAGCACCTTTACAAAGTGACCAGGTCAGGCAGGAGTTTCAGTGCATCCTTGGAATGCAGTACCTGGCATTGCACRTGCAGCACCTACCTGGGCTTTGACACCCAGGAGGGCAGAGATGAGCTGCTCCTTGAAACCTGCAATTCCCCTTTTCCTCTCCTTCCATCTTTATGTCACATGGCAAGGTCAGCAGAAACAAAAACCTGTTTGCTTGTCTTAACCTGCTGCCTCAGAGCTTCTTCCTCTCCCAAATGCAGCTCAAGTCCATCCCTCTTGATATGACAGACTCAGCAAGCCTAGAGTGCTCCCAATCGATATTTTTTCCTAGGATGGTTCCACCTGATTTTTTTTTTTAATTTTATGTTTTGTCCCAACCACACGTGGTTTGTTCAGGTCACCACTAGTTCTCTTGGTACAGGATATTTTTCTCTCTGGTGGATTTCCCAGATGTGGAAGTTGTTGCTGTCAGTGAAGCCACAGGAATCTTCTTCCTTTTTGTGCAGATCCAGCTGCAGGGATCAAGGTTCAAATCCCTTATKAGATTACAGAGCTTCCCTAACAGCAGCAGAGGGCAGGAACAAGCTGTCACTCTGTGATAGTATTTCAGAGCATAAAAGACTGTAATCAGCTACTGAGCTCTTGCCTCACCTTGACTTTATCTTGTTATGCAGCAATTTCTGTAGTAATGTTAATGTTCTTTAAATGGCAGCTTTTACAACTAAAGAGGGTATCCCACATTATCTTCATGTTCTTGAAATAAATGGTTTGGCTACTTTTCCTTTGGAATCAAGGCACTGGTGGTCACATTGTGTGCATTCTGCTAACATCTCAACTCATTTCCAACCAAATCCAGAGAGCATAAGAACCATTTAATAAAGGTGACAGTCAGMGGAGGAGCTGTACAAACCACCTGAGCTTAGGAGAGCTGCTCTTTGAGTTTGCCTGCATTAGACCCTAGAGGATTGTCTGTTTGTGCAGCTCCACTCTTCCTCTCCTCCCATCTCTGTGCCACCCGGAATGATTAGGGGAAAGAAAAGCCTTGAAAGCACAAGTCCATAAGCAACTGYGCTTTAGCTAAATTTCTCTGCTCATAAATCTACTTTATTTATTTCCTAGAAAATAAAAGAAAAACCAAACGGGGTGCATAGACACAGCCTGGTGAGGAGGGAGGGAAGGTGCAGAAGAGCAGCTATTGATATGCACATGGCACAGTGGCACATCAGCCTTCCCCTGCAAAGAAGTTTGAGAGTCCAGGTTTTCCTTTAATTCTTGAGGAACAGATGCTTCATGTCCTCTTCTGCAGTCCCAGTATTATCTGTGGRCAGTTTTTTAGTGGACTGTGTCATYAATCTAATGCTCATCRTCCTGTTTGGSCTTTGCCTTCRTGTCTRCCTTTAGAAATGGTATTTAATTCAGTCATAGAGTGAGACAGGGTACAGTGTGCTGCCCCATCCTTCTAACATTCCTGCTAAATCCTCTCAATTTAGTAAATTCAGCAATTTAATATCTAGGATATCTGTTATTGGACTAAACTTTAAAAGCAAAGGTGCCTAAACTCTTGACCATCAGGATAGTTCTGGAAACTTGAGGTTTTTATTAAGTATGTGGAACTCTACCTGTTTTAGGTTATCTGAGGAACAGATGAAACTGGTTTCCCTRGTAGCACCTCAACCATTAGATACACATGCATGCAAAAACACACCACTTCTGTTCRTAGTTGCAAATAATTTGCATTTCCCCCTCTTCCTGCAGGTGTCACGGCGAGGCAGAAGGTGTAAGAGAACCTCTCGTGTGTCACTGGAGTGCTGCCAGCTTCTGAGACTCCAGGGTYTGCATCAAAGAAACGCCATCATAGACACTTTCTGCCCCACCAAGACCCACTGCTTCTCCTCGTGCAGCCTTTCACTCCCCTCCCCAGGACCTAAAGAGCCTCCCCAGAGACTTTGGACCCCTCAGCCTGTGCCTTGCACTGGGCACCTGTGGGGACAGGGGACGGTTCTGTGCACAGCAGCAGTGAAAGGGTCAGACYTGCCATCTGCTCTCCTGGAAGCCGAATCTTTGAACCTGCTCTTGGGCCAAACTCCTCTTGAAATGACAGCTGAGTGTGGCCCAAGAACAGACTGCAGTGCTTAGCCCTTGGAGAAGTGTTAAAAACAGCAGTGCCTCAACTAAATCAAGGGTATAAATTAAGCAGTGGCTGTACCATCACGGGTGGAAGCGTGTTAACTCCCTCTTCTCATCACCCACTGACACTTTCTATTGGACCAAGTCCAAGACCCAGATTAGACAAATGTATTTTTACTCCCAATCACTTTAAGCAAGGGAAATCGGTTACAGGGRAAAAGCAGAAGAAAAAGGATGTATTTTACTAAGCATATGGCCATATAAACAGTGTCTGGTTCCTACATGATGCTTATGTGCAATTAAGTTGAAGTGCATCAGTTGTCTTAATAAGTCTTGTCACACACCCTGATGCATCCATCAACTTTTGGAGAACCAGGGCCCTGGTTTCCTTTACTAAAGCAGAAGGAAGAGGCTTTCCAGAGTGCTCTATTGGACAGATTTTCAGCTTACCCTTTAGTAAATCTCTGGGTTTGACTTCCATTGTCAGCTGCTTGTACTCAAGAGTCTATGTCCAAGCTGCAGAACGTGTTGAATCATGTTACTTTKGCTTTAAAACTGGGACTGTGCAGTATTGTGTTTTCAAAATTCAGAGCTTTATTTCTCAAGTTTTGTAATAACACTGTATAATAATTTTGTACATAGCTGTCCATTTAAAATGATCTATGTTTGTTGAATCTATGGTGTGGTATGTGCTGAAACATAAATCCAGTGGAAGAGCTGATACATTTCAGAACTGTTCATTTATATGGTAACTCACTGTGGCTAGACTAATGTGCAGGCTACAGCTTATTTTGCTTTGCTTAATAGGACTTGTAATGTCCTTGTAATACTGAAAACTTAGAAGTGAAACCAAGAATTAAATCACTGGTTTGCTTTAACCAAGGCATCACTATGAGCATATTGAGAATTGGTCAAGAAAAGCAGAGATGAGTTKAAAAAGACACCTGGGCAGTGCAGGAGACTCTGCAGAGCACAGCCCCATTGCAACTCARAACCCATTCCTGCTGGCAGAAGCAGCCATACCCCCAGCATTCCCCAAAATCCATGCCACCAGCCCAGGTTTGATTTGCAGGACTGTCTCCAGCACATTGCCAGGCCTCCCCTTTTCTCCCTTTTTCCAGTCTCAGAGCACATCACCCAAGCACCATCCTCTTGCTCTTCTCTGCTCTCAAATTAGACTYCCAGCTAAAAACTGGAGTATCAAACACATTCCCCCAGCAGCTTTACAACCCCCATGTTTCCAGCAAGAGCCTGCAGCCCAGGCTAGCAGTGCACAGCCAGCCTCCTCCTCACCACCCCACTCTTTTATCAACAGGAACAACATCATCTGGAGATGCAGGACTGGGAASTAAATGGCTTTTCTAGGTGTTACCTTGGGAGCCTTGCCTGCTGATGCCCCACAGGCTGCTCACTTCAGATGCTATGGCATGTGTCCATTTCTCCATCTGGATCTTTCAGGTTCCCTCATTTCCACCCAGAGAGAGCAGYTCATTTCCACAGCCAGAGTTTTTATTACTCTGTGTTCTTACTTTGGCCTTCAAAGAGAGGGTGTTTGGCATTATCTTTCCACTGCTTTCCARAGTTTACAAAGAAATGGGTTATTTTGAGCCACTGAAGGCTCTTTGTTTARTAGTCATCTGTAAATTATCTATTCAATCACATCCCAATCAGCAGACTCAAGCACAACATTTTTAATTCATTGCTCCAGAGCATCTCTGCTTCCATTACAGTGATGATTTAAGAAGAACAGAGGAAGAATCAGAGGAGGTCAAAGACTGATACTCAGCTGGAATGTGCAGTTTTGCTCCATTTGTGAGCTTGAAATAAAGCTCATGATCCTGAAGATTTTTCAGTGGTTGCAAGGCCAAATTAGTTGCTGGTAAAAGGAGTGTCACTTGTGGCCAATTCAACAGAGCTGTGGTTATTTAAGTCACAGTGAGTTTAGCCCTCAAAATAGRATTCTTGTGGTGTATTACAGCAATTGCACATGGAGTCTGGTGTATAAACCAGGCTCTGACCACCACAAGCTTCTTGCTGCCAAATAAATGCATATTCTGTAATTGAGCATTGACTATATGATAAAATGAAATTATGGGAGAAATCAGCAGAAGTGTTTTCCAAATATTTCACATCAAAAATCAGATACGTTTATTGAGATGGATTTTCAGAGTTAGTTTTTGGGGAGTTTTGGTTGTTTTTTTTTATTTTTTAATTTCAATACTGAAAGTATTTTGAAGTTTAGAATAAAATAAATATTTGATGAGTTTCCTTTCTCTGGTGGGGATGGGGAAGACCTATGATTCGTGGGAATKTGTCCATCAAAGTCCTGTATTTTCCACAAAGGGTATAAAGCACCTAAGCATGTAATTGTTRTATGTGCTTAGTAATAATTACCAATTGTTTTGCTCTTCGGCCAGCTCCCTCAGTACCCTTGGGTGGATCCCATCCAGCCCTATAGATCTGTGAGTGTCTGAGTGGCACAGCAGGTCATTTCCTCCTGGATTTTGGGGGGCCTACTCTGCCCCTGTCCCTGTCAGCCAGCTCAGGGGGCTGGTTGCCCTGAGGATAACGAGTCTTACTGCTAAAGACTGGCAAAGAAGGCAGCCTTTTCCTCATCTGTGGTGACAAAGTTACCCTCCACATCCCGTAAAGGATGGAGATTTTCCTTGTCCATCTTTTGTTGATGGTGTATTTATAAAAAAACAATTTCTATTATCTTTCACAGCAGTAAGTTCTGGCTATTGAGTTCTAGCTGAACTTTTGCCTTCCTAATTTTCTCTACATGACATCTCATCATCCCTGGAAGTGTTCAAGAAACTTCTTGGTATTGACACTTAGTGCTGTGRTTTAGTTAGCACAACGGTRTTTGGTSAAAGGTTGGACCCCATGATCTTGGAGGTCCTTCTTCAACATTAATGATTCTATGATAAAAACAGAGATATCTAAATGGAGCTATATCTAGTTTACAAACACAACCACAGMGTTGCACTGTACTTGAAGCATGGCTGAAATCTCAAATCTATGCCAGTATTTTTTGGGCTGAGTGTGCCATTTGGTCCTCTCCTACATTCCATATAACCAAGAAAGAGGCAGGATAAATTAAAATAAAAGAAAAATTGTGTAAGCCTGTTTCAGCAAAATTAACCAGTTTTCATTCTGTCTAAATGGAAAGCCTAGATCTTCATATTTTTGGTACACAGTTATCAGACAAAGTACAACGTTCAAGCTTACCAAGGCTAAACATCAGCAATGTAGGAACCCTGGCTTACTCTGTCTGTGTGCTAACAGTCACAGCCATGAAATATGGGTGAACATGTTACTCATGAGGTTATGTCCACATAATGTGTCTGAAAGAAAATACAGTCATGAACCAGCTCCATCAGAAACCACATTTTGTTTGGTCACCTCACAATCAAAACTGGGAAGGATAAACAGCTTTCCCATKTCTGTGTGACCACAGAGGGTTAAAAATGAGGCAGTCATAGTGACAGTTTTCAAAATTACTGCATAGTGACAATCTTGCAAAATAACCCCATGATTTGCAGGATTTGCAATGGAAATGAGGCCCATAGTAAAGAAAAATGTTTCCAATTCGTTAGTTCAGAGCAGGTACCAGACTTCAAATACCAGGGGAGAATTTGATCATTGCAGGTTAATCAACACATTCAGTCAGCTCTGCAAGTAACTCACCCCTTCATCCGTGCTGTGCTAGCACTTAATTCACATTAGGAACTCTCTAATGCTCTCTTTGCTGCAGCATAAACAACTCGTGCACGAGCTGTGTGTGACAATTCACACGGAGCCAGGTGTCGGCAGGAATTWGCAGGAGCTCTGTGCTTCCCTAATGGAGACTTTAAGCAGACTCAGCTTGCATTACTCAAAGTCAGATGACAAGAATCACTCTGTGCCAGTCAGCTCCTATCAAGTCAGTTTAGATACACTCCCAGCCTGTCAAAGGAGGTTTTTTCTAAGATCAGCACTCTTTGCTGATGACACCTACATTATTATGGTTATGGTTGGTTTGCCCTGCTCAGGGCATGCAGAGCCTGATGTTTGTATGGTGCTGATGTGGCTTCATACAGAGTAATCTGCTATAAGTTCAGTCATGAATTAGTGACAATTAATGACCAAATCCATCAATCATAATAGAAGAAGAAAGTCAGAGGAGAAGCAGAGGCAGCACAGGCAAAAAGAGTAACAGGTCTAGGAAATCTGGTCCTGTGACTTTTTGAAATTCACAACTTGATTTTGTAATTTAAATGGAAGAAACCCTCAGTATCAATAATTTCCAGAAGTGATCCTTTGAGATCAACAGATTTTTCTATACACTTTGCCCTGTTTTGTACTTTCATTTGTTGAAATGGTTTTCACAGCTCAGTTACACAAAACCAGAGCAGTGATGATGGCCCTCTGAAGAAGAGCTCAGACAAGACCATTCCCAGAGTCCCTTCCAGCCAATGTTTTTATGATCCTCGGCTCAGCAAGAAGTACAAGAGAAGTAGAAAATATAGGAGTAAGAAAAGTCCAGAAACCCTTTCAGGTCTGTCTRTTAATCCTCTTTGGTGAACCAGTGTCATGCACAAATATGCCCCAGGAGTCGTGACCTCATTCACCACACCAGCAGTCTACAAACCCATCCTGAATCACAGACATATGGTTTGTTTTTCTAAAATATCTCCTTAATTGGAGAGACCCCAAGCAGAACAGGACAAGAACGGGATTCTCTCCCTCCAAGTACTTTCAACTGCTGTATCTGGATTTTAAAGGTCTGGAGGACAGAGATGAGMCCCTGAACTCACAAGGCATGTTCTGTGACACACAGCTGCCTGCAGAGGTCTGTGTGCAAACCACAGCACAGCTGCAYGCAGATCAAATGAGAGCCAACATGGTATTCTTTTCAAACCATGACCTATSTCAAGCCTAGCAAACACCCAAAGATTAAAGCTGTTATAGTCTGTCTCTAATCCTTTCAGCTATACAAGACCCAGTTGAAGTAACTGTTGAAATTCCTTTCAGTTTTGAAGAGTTCATCCCTATTCTCCACAAATTCCTCTGCTGATCCTATAACACACCTTGTCTCCGCATCTTATTTTCACAGTCTATCCCCATACCCTACATACACCTTCTCATGGTTCCTAGAATTGCCTCATCACTCTGCTGCAGGGCCCAGAGAYCAGCAAAGGGGTTTTAGCAGCAGTGCCCCCCAATATCTTCCACCCACAGCTGCTGCTGGCCCAGGCTCCATCTGCAGCAGATCCCAAGGCTCCTGCCTTACCAGCAGCTGCCAAAAAGTGGAGCCAGTTCCCTTAGAGGGCTTTTTCATTGACTCCATCCCTAGGACAGAGTCCACATTAAGCACACACATCTCACAGCTATTTTTCAGCCAGCAGCAGAGTGAAAAGTGAGCGTTTTCACTTTGTTTCCAAATTTTTCCAACCGCTCCCGGTTTCCAACAGCTTCCAGCTTTTTGATATGAGAAAATGGAGGCACAGCAGTAGGTAGCTGGATCGTAATAAGGGAGAGGTGGATTGCAAAGATTAAAGAGGGTTTTGACAGTCAGAGCACTGAAATTAAATGCCAGCAGCTTGGGCCACTGAGATGACTCATTTTCTGCCACTGCCTTCCTAAGAGGCTGTGGGCAAGCCATTTCCCCGTGCCTGAGTTTCCACAGCTGTAAAATGGGGCAATGGCTTCCTTTGAAACACTTTGACAACCACTGATGAAAAACACCATGAAAGAAATGCTAGCAATAAGAAAAAAAAAAATTCTCTTTTTTTTTTCTGGCATAATGTTTGCAGCCACACCAGAGACAAAACAAAAGGAAGAYGGGAACATTCAAAGAATTACAGTTCCCCTAAGGCTTTTCTGAATCCAGGCTGCAGAAAAAACTTGGAATCCTGTAGGAATGTATCTGAAAGGAAAAGAGTRAACCTTATAGTGAGAAGAATTCTTGAGCAAGAAAGGATTAAGATCTCTATTTTCTCCTACTTCTTATTTTTATCCTTGTAAGAATCATAATCATCAARGATAAATTACATCTGTTGCAAAGTCAATAGTGAGGAATATTACTCCCAGGAGCATCTTGATGCAAGTCAGTCCCTGAATCCAAAGCAAAGCAGGTGGAGCCCATTGGGAGCTAATAAACAACAGGTTTGCTCCAGTTAGGGAGCAGCTGTCTGCATAAACAAGTGACTAACCCTCTCCCCAGATGGGTTATATATCCTGCTGCTCAACTCTAGCCATTTGGTAAGAAGTAACATCTTCATMTCCTCAGAAATGTCTTACACTGCAGATATTGACCCTGTGCTTACRCTGCTGGTGGTTACCTTGAACATGTGTGAAGCACAGTTTCTAAACARCCTCTCCCTTGAGAGAAACCTTGTAGGTATTTATAGCACCCAAGGGGAAATATCACGTCTTCTGAAATATTCATTGAAATTCCCTGTTTCTGATATAACAGCAACCAATAAAYGAAATTCCTGTTTTACAAAACAACATAGTCCCATATTAGTCCATTAGCAACRCAAGCAATGAAAAACTGGGAGTGTTTGCATGTTCCAAATCACAGAGGTAAGGCATTTTTTAGATGTGACTTAAAATTCTAAACCCTACGCCATCAAAATACGGCTTCTCTTTCAAGGCTAATGAGAAGTGTGCCTATTTTTAGCATGTCAGTAATCAGATGGAAATGTGGAAATGACAGCCTGTATTGTGGTGGTCCTCAAGCATCATCATCTTTCCCCATAAAACAAAAGGTGGAGTAGTAGAGCACTGAAAACAGCTTCACAGTTAATTGCAAGTTAACATTCAACTGGATCATCAGAATTGGGCTGGTGTATTGAGGCAATCGCTGTTCCCTGCCCTAACTGGTGCCAGTGCTAGTGCTCATCTGGCTGCATTGAGATGTGTGTATATAAATGCATTTATTCACCGGGGAGGGGGGCTGCACTTTCAAAGGAGAAATTTCACACRGAGATTTCTTTTTAAAATATACCCACAAGCTCATTTGAACATAATCAGCACTGTAAGTTACAGCTGCCTTGAAGTTACACCAAAGCTTTAATCTTCCTAAGAGCACAGATTTCTCTACACGGTCTCTAAAGTATAATCTTTGGAGATACATTATTATAAGCCTATTTATCATTCAAAGCATATTAGCTGTTTCTTGTATAGTACTACTTGTTAGTA